ACATGGAAAAGGAATGCAAAACGAAGCGAAAAAGAAATTGGAAAATACTCTTGCAAATGCCTATTTCTAAACGCGGTCAAGACTTGAATCATGTGAAAGGATCAATCTGAGATTGACATTACGCGGTGCTCAGTCGCCTTGGCAGGGGGAACCAGCACAAGATTTAGGCTATCGCTGTTCCAACTGAGTGCCTCCGAGAGGCATTTCAACCTTAGCCGACCTCTTGGTGTTGGAATTGAATGAAACACTGGAGCACGACCTAGAGAGGATGGACCATTGTCTCGCCTACTCAATGCCAGGCTGAGGAGACAGTGCTGGGTCTTGCCAAAGCACTGAAGGGTTGAATGTGAGTTTGGGCTTGCAGCTGGATCGGTCGTCTCTCGGTGCGGAAAATCTCGAAGTTTGCATTTGAGTTGAAACCGTACACCAATTGGACCGTCAACGGTTTTGCGAATCGCAAGCTGTTTTTTTGTGCGAGCCTTCAATCCTGCCGCCCGAACATACCCTTCAGCGCTTGCCCTTCGCTTGTATTCGTGCCTTGTTTTGTTTTGTGGCGCCTTGAGCGCAGACATTGCGGCTGGCGCCGGGCGGGCATGGAAGTGAAGTCTTTGACAGTTCTCGGGCGACGGATTGCGAGTTGTGTTTTACAGCCATTCATACCAGTGTCACCATTGCGCAAAGCATTTGACCTTTTTCCCAGCAATGCAAGCCTGGGGCTGTAGGTGTCAGAGAGCTTCCAGCCAAACTGTTCGTAGCCTGCGCTAGCGCGGCCCCACGAGCTGAGCGGCAGCGTGAACTGCAAGTATTTCAGATTGTTTGGGTTTTGAAGTCAATCCCTTGTAAACTGAGAGGTTTGTCTGACTGGATTCTGAGTTTGGTAAGTCATCAGGACAAACGTGAATTTATCGGCTGGTCACTGTCCACTTCTTTGGATGCATTGCCTTGTGCCGGGCTTGGTTCTCACAGCTCACAGACCCTCGTTTGTCGATTTGGGCACCTGAGAAGCTTGAGTTCAAAGTGCATCCCTTCACCCATTCCATTTCCAGAAACAGAATCAAGTCTGAAGGCCAACCTCACCTGCTGCTCGCTTGGGGAAGCCATTTGCATGGCAACTTGACCACTGCCAACCGCGAAAGCAACCTGCAGAAGCAGTTTTTCGCTGCAATTGCTCAACCTCGCATTTTCGACAAGCTTGTAACGAGGCCAGGCTGAGTTGCCGCAGGTGTTTGACACTCGTAACTTGATATTCCTGTTGCTTCAACCGTTTGCAGGCAGACCATAGCTATCAGCCCTGGGCTGTTTGTTTGGCATTTGCTTCACTCAGCATTGGCAATTCACTGAAGTTCCACCTATGTGAAAAGGATACCTACCTACCATTTGCATGCCTTCCATTTGACACACTGACCAACTGTCAACTCTGCCCACCTTTGCGCCGAAGAAATACTTCCACAGCGAATCACAGGCTATCTCTGAAAGTGTCAGTCTTGTGCACGGGGGGACACTTGGTTTGGACCATGCCTGAGAGAGGGAAATCCAAGGCGGATCATGAATCTTCTGGCTGAAAATTGCTGGGCATGGCTTATTCACGCGAATTAGGAAGTGGGCAGCGTTGTCAGAGAAGACCTGCTGTTTGAGAACTGCAAATGCAAGGTTTGTACAATTTGTTTGAGAAGCGGCAAGAAAGTGCCTGCTAGTCGTTTCAAGCACGCAAGCATTGCAAGATGAAGAGAGCTGGTTTCTCTCAATGTGTAAGGCCGTAAGGCAATAAGACTTGCGAGGTTTACGGAGCTCGCTTTACTACTGCCACAGATTCTGCGTCGTGCAATATTCAAATGAATGAGTCAACTCGAATTTGTGTGTCGACGGCGACGAATGTGTGAGCTCGTTGTGCACAGTATCATGAGTTTTCAGCACGGCATAGGCGAGAGCTATCGGTGGTCAGATTTTGGGAACGGAATCAGCCAGCCAGGCTGCGCCATTCGAAGATGTTTCAAGTGTCCCAACTATAAATGAATTTGTCTCACGCAGGCGCACTCAAATGAGTGGTTTATTTGTTTTTCAAAAACAAGCATTCAATCAAGTGCAACCGCCCTCTTGATCATTGACTGGGAGGACTCCTGCGGTCAACAGTATTTACCGGGTTTTGATAGTGACTCAACTGCTGCCTCAATTTTTATGTTTGGGTTGTGGCTGTGTTGAAGCGTGAGATCCCTGTTCGAAGCTTCCAAAATTACCCATAGTGGAACCATGAATCGGATTCCAGCATCGCCTCCACCCCTTTTGCCAAATCGAGTTGTGGCTCGGCCAACAGGAAGGCATCAATCAGCTCAAGCGAAAACCCATTTCCTGGTCCAACGAAACTCGGCTTCCCAAACCTCCCGATCCTCTCGCACCCTTCGGGGCGCTGTGAGTCCCGATCTGGGAAGCCACCTATTTGCAACCAGCCCTGTGACCGGCGATCTGGGCTTCGGTCTGTATGTTGTCTGCCAAAATCTTGGTCGCAGGGCTGGCTTGATCCTGTCGCATGAGGCTTTCTGGTCGACGAGGGGCCAGCCACAAAGGATGACTGCTTTCTGCGTCAGGCTCCAGAATATAGTGAGCTGTGCAAAACATGTGTAGGCTTCTTGACTCGGAATGGTCGATGAAGCCAGATGAAGAGGAGGGACTTAGTACCTTGCGGTCAAGCCTTCCAAGTGTTGTTAGCCACAGGGATTTTGGCGCTTCAAAATCGCGGCTCGGAGTGATGAGTTCGCGGGCATCACCATGGTTCTTCAACTTTCCCTGCAGGAAATCTTGTGATCCCCTTCCTGCCAAAGGCCGTGCTCCTCAGAAATAATAATTCATGTTGAATGAGGAGTCCAGAGTGATACCCCATTTTTGAAAAGAGAAAGTCGAACTTGTTCATGCTTCACGTTGGGGCCGGCCTAGTAAACAAAACGCTGAGGGTGTTTGCTCAAAGTTTGGTTGAAGCATGCTCCAGCTCAAGCATTTCATTCAATCGAAAGGAGATGCTGCTACTGTTCTTTGCTTGCTTCCTTCACCAATTTGGTCACGGGGATAGTTGAGCTGTTTTGGACATGCGACAAGCTTCCTGACAAAGTGTATCACTCGCGGAAGTGCCCGCCGGCTCCGAGTCTGTTTGAAGCCACAAGCCCAAGAGTGCAGGACACGAGGAGAAGCGTCCAGAACTGCTTGGCCCTTGCCCGACTCAAAAGCCTGGCGAGGGACTTGCGACTGGATGCTCCCTGCTTGCATCAGACGTTTGGCAATTTCAGCTGTCGGACCCGGATGCGTCAGGTACCCAGTGGTCAGAATTTGGCCCCAAGCTTCCCTCCGGCAACAGACCGTGGGCAAGCCGGGCAAACATTAAGCAAACAAAAGCTCCGCTAGCTTCACATCCTCATTGCGAGCACTTACTTGGCGGAGACTCAAAAAGTCTCGGTTTGACTTCTGCCTCGAGATCCGAAGGAGTTGTGGTCGCGAAGATCCCACTGATCTTGCTTTGCCAGTCCGTTCAGAGCTTGGTAGCTAACTCAGCGCTCTTGGGCGTGCTCCTGAGGAAACAATGTGGATGGTTGATTGAGGATTGAGGCAATCACTCTGTGTGTTGGAAATTCTCAGTGTTCTCATCTCAGCTCGGGCGTTGGACTTGTTTTTTTTCTTTTCGCGTCCCGCCTTGCTTCTTGCTTGTTCGCAAGATTAGATGCAATTTTAGCCATTCATCGGAGTTGTAGTTCCCTTGCATGTTGCCCGTCTCTGAACGGAAAGCGGCGGACCTGGATTCAGTTGAGCTTTGAATCATGAGTACTTTTGAGCATGATCGTGCAGTGTGAGCCAAGGAAACGCTTGGCCAATTCACAAAGCCCGCCATTCTGAATTTCTGCACGAAGGATTGCCATGTCCGCAGAGCTAGAATGCTTGGCTGGAATGCTTTGCTGCAGTGTCCTGATGATTTGGCAGGAGGTCAGGGGAGGTTTCTGAGACGGCAACTCTCAACCTTGGATTTGCACCAACTCGCCAGTGTCCATCTTTTGCATATAGTTGCTCAATCAGTGTTCTTTGTGACACGACATGCAAAAGACTTGTCATGCAGGCAAACGTAGGGAGAAACATGATGAAGCTTCCAATATCACTCCCATGATGGAAGCGACAAGTAATGACAGGGCTTGCAACAGCAAAGTCATCTGCGTGCCTGCCTCGGAAAGCCCTCCTCCATTTGCCAGTCACCAAACCCTCTAATTCGCCACAAACGGCTCTTTGCGTTTGCTGCGGTGCAAGCAGCTGAGATGCGACGGAAGTGAATTGGGCAAGCATCACGTGAAACGTGGCACATTCAACTGCCTGCTTGTGTCGCTTGTGTTTTTGTTCATTTCTGAGCCTCTAATGGGATTCCATGTTATATTTGATCACTGAAGCTTGCCAACTCCAGTGGTACGAGCTGCCAGGGTCATGGATGTGTGTAGAAACTCACGGACATGTGCATAGCAGCATAGCAGGGCCCAGATCGATTGACTTCAAAGCCTTGGCCCAGCTCAGCCAAATTTGCTTCCTCAAGACTCGCTTTCTTGCGATCGCTTTTTCGATGTCGGCCAGACCCACCAAACTCTTGTGTGCCTGCGGGAGGAAGCGCCAAGCAGAGAGAGAATGAGTCCCCTGACTCGCAATTCTCTTTCCTGTAAGTGGAGGGTGCGGACGCTCCAAGGTGGACGGCTTGGGAGGCAGGCATGCATCAAACCCGGTAACAGCTATTTTATGGAAAAAGTGCTGAGGCCGTGCTCTGAAATCAGTTGCACACTTCCAATAAGTCCAATCATCAAGAAAAGTCTACACAATGGAAGAGTTGCATGTGTGGTTGGCAACTGGGGCATGGGACAATTTGCGTGTCGAGATTGGCCTGGCTCTTAGTTCTGTCTCGTTTGTATTCCACCCTTGGCGCCCGTTCTTCCCCGGACACTCCCTGGAGAAGTCTCACTCTGAAGCGCTTTCCAATTGGGCGCCAGGCTGGCGTGGTCTGTCCAGGCGGGCGACTCTTTCAGTGAATAGTGGTGAAGAGTCTTAAGTGCAACAAGTGCACATGTCAGCGAATGTCGGACCGGCATCGCCGTGTTCATGGCTTAACATGCCGTGCATGCCAGGACCGCGCAAGCTTGCCAGGGCCCCGGCAGTGTGCTGATGGGCCCACAGTGGCTTTCCAATTTCCCAGGCTGCTGCCTTCCAGGCGGGAACTGCAGCACAGGGTCCCGGAAGTAGCAATTTGATCGGTGCCACGAGCTTAATTTGGTATTTGAGAGGGTGCACCAAAGGGAAAATGGCGAAGCCAGGAGAGTGGGGTGCGCGCCAGAACCTATCAAGCCTAAAAACAATGTTCACAGGAAGCGATTCGAACAGCTTGCTTGTGGTTTCGGAGACAGGGCGAGAAGGCAGGAAGCTCGAGATGTTTTCTAGAGCTTTCAGACTTGAAAGAACAATGTCACTGGATGCAAGACTCATCCATGCGGCTCCTTTCGGTGCTACCCTTGAAACAAGCTTCGTGTGTGCAGCACCAGGGTGATTGCGCCGCCAACTCCCGTCCCTGCCTTAGGTGCAAACTAAGAATTGTTTTGACCAGAAGAACATGGGGGGGCGCTGTATGGCAGTGTGCTGGACCTGTTGAGTTGTCGTCTGCTAGGCTTCCTGCCCTTTCCCGCTATTGTTTCGTCCGTTGACCTCTTGCATTTTCACTGATGCAGTGTCATGCAATCAAAGCTTTTGATCAAGCCGAGCGGCTTGTGTCGACCTCTCAAGCAGTTTCTGCACTTTCTCGAAACAAAATTACACTGGAGCTGAGGGGCGTCATCACATTCTAATTGCTTCAGCCAATGGCTCGTGCTTTCCTGCAACAACGGCCTCTCCCAAGGCCTCGCCCTCACCAGCAGGCAGGGGAGTAGAGAAGTGGTGGAATGAACCGAAGGCTAAGAAAGTCGCCGCCCGTTGAAAAGCAACTTCCTTGTAGGCACATGAAGTGGGCCTCTCTGGAATCCGTCTCCATCTTAATGTTCCCTTTTCTTCATATGCTATCACAGAGCAGCCCTCGGGAATGTAGCTTCAAAATGCAGGATCTTGGCGCAAGGAAGGGGCGGCCGTTTGACAGGCTTAAAGCTGCAGACACCCAGGCTGCAGAGGGTCACTTGTCACTTGCCCTGACAGGCTCCATGTTGGTTCCCGGCCGCATTCAGGCCGGGGTGCTTCGGATATTGGCTGTTATTCACCTGCATTCTCAAATGCCAATTTTGGCCTAAGTACAAGTGCATGCTTAAGGAGAGCGAGTTGCGGAGGATTCAGAAAAGAAGCATCAGTCACAAGCTTGCATTATGTTCAAAACGTATTGCAATGTCGTTTCAGCAGGCTCGCTTCTTGAAAAGGCATCTTCGACATGCGTGCTATTGGCTTCCGAGTCCAGTCCACAATGGACAAGCAAACATACCAACCTGTGGTGCTGGAAGTTGGTGCTCTGTTTTTGTTGGTGGCCAAGAACTGCACAGTTGTGCCCTGCACTCAAAAAGTCGGATGATTCGTTTGAGAAGTTTCTGTCAAACACCTTGAGGCCGCAGAATGGAGCCCAGGGCCGCAGGGCAGGACACGGGGCACGACGCTAACCACATGGATTTTGTTTGGCTTCAAAGCAGCACTTGGTCTCTTCACACAGTTTGGTTTGCAGTGCGTGATGAGGTCAGAGATGTGTTCCGATCAATTCCAGAAGCAATGCTTGGCGCAAGAAGCGTCGAGTGATGCAAGAGTCATGACTGATCGAGGTTCCCGGCCTGAATGACAAAAACTTCCCGAACATGTCTGACTCGGCTATTTCTAACTTCGGGAAGCCATTTACAAATGGACAATCTGCGATTCCTTCGGTTGTGACATGTCAACTGTTGATCCGGCCCTAGACAGAGGGGCCCGTTTGTCCGCTCGACACCGAGCCACGGTTGCGACCGCGCCATTGGGCGCGTGGACATTCGATCTCAGCGCAAAGGTGCGCTTCAGCAGCTGCGAGCCTACCTGACCCCCGGTCATTGCATTGGTAGCGGAGCACGGTTACACAATCCGGGAGTCCAAGGATCACCCGCACCTCGCCTTCAGCTCGAACCCTGTCCTTGAGAGTGGCAACCTGGATCTGTGACTAAGGTGCAGACCTTCATCGGATACTGACGTTGAGGACCATCTTGGTCATCCTCAAGAACCTCCTGCACTATGACCTCACAAGCACCTCACCCTCGCCAACCCTCAGACGTGGTTCACATTCACCTGAACTCCATCTACGGCAACCCTCAGGACATCAGCCACCACTCCACCAGTTCGACTACGGCAACTTCCTGAAATCCATCTACTACAGCGGAACAATGCGCAAGATCCCAACCCGGTTCCAATGGTGTGAAGACGACTTCTACAACTCATGAGCCTCATGTCCACCAACCTCATGAACGCCACGGCCTCCATGGTACTGGACGAACGGGATCTCTTGTGGGAAGTGGCCTGCTCCGACAACTCCTGGCTCACCGTGCAAAATCATGGGCTTTGACATCTACGACCTCAAACCTGGGTACGCCTTCAAGACCTTCGGCGGCGACACAGACCCAAGCACATCTCGTTCTCCTTCCCATGTACAAAACGGTGTCAGTTCACCAACTTGAACTACACTCCGGAGCGTCGCGACAGCGGATTGCCAGTCCAACGTGTGTGCTTGTGGGAGTGGGTCCGCAAATTTGAACCGCCGCGTGTTGCAATAGCCAAGCGAGCTAATGAAGACCTAGTTGGCCGCCTTGCTGTTGTTGCTGCCCAGCCTGGGCAGCAAGTGCGAAAGGTCAGAGCTCATCAGAACCTTGACCAGATTCATGACCTTGAGCAACTCTTTCACCACCTTGGAAATGATATTGCAGATGAGGCTGCTAAAGCTGCATTCGGACAGATTGATGTGCAGATTAAGCAGGCCTCTGGCCGTATTGCCAGAGATGAAATTGCAGACAAACAGGAGTTGAGCCTCATACTTGATTACTCTGCACAGGTTCTCATTGAATACGCCATCAGACTTAGGAAGCTTCAAAGCGCAACTAATGCACGCACTACCCCTGCTGAGCGGGTCCAGATTTGTCTTGATTGGACGCCTGAGCCGACCTGCTCCATGTTCGTGCAATTTGACCCTGCGCTTGCTGACTGCTTTATGTGGGGTACAGCCTTCTACACCTCTGTCACAAAGTGGCTGTCGCTGCTTGCATGGCCTGATCAGGACTTGCCTAACGACCCTGGCATCACGTTGCTCGAGCTCTTGGTGAACTGGCTCGTTTGTTCAGGCATTGAACTTCCGTATGTGGTACCAAAAGGAGCTGATGCCCCCGCCAACCTTGCCAAAGATGCATACAGTATCCGCACAACTGCACAAGATGCGAGCGTTTTGCTCTTGCCTTTCTCTTGGTGCAAAGAAGTCAATGCCTTTGAGAACGCGCTCCGCACTCTTCAGAGATGCAGCGATCACATTATTTTGCCATGGCCACCACCTTGACTTGCTTTGGCGCATTGCAAAAGAGCTCGGGTTTCTGTAGGCGACCGCGTTTGCCAATGCAGTCGGAGACTATCACTGCCATTATGAAAGGCTATGCTGGAGGGCGTGAGTTCACACTCCCACGTGCTTGGATCCAGGAACAGGCATTGCCCCGCATTGCGCATGTCGATATGAGTGCTGCTGAGCTTAGTGAGGGCCCGTATGCCCGATTTTTGAGAGAGCGGCCCGGCTTGGGGGAATGTTGTGCTGTTTGTCTGCCGCCTTTCCCCCCTGGTATGAACACCTGATGCCTTCGGTTGTGCTGGGTTTCTATTGATGCTTTCACCACTCGGTATTTGCCTATGATGCCTCAGATCCCACTGGGTCAGAGCCCGTGCATGGCAGCCTGCATATTTTATCGCTACAGCGGATGAGACTGCACAGATGTCCGATGTACTGGCTGTTTATCGTATTTGTCAGCTTGGTGGATATATCCTTGCGACTGTGCACTTCATTGGACTTATATTATATTTGCATCTTTGCCCAAGGGTACATTCCGCTTGTATAGTATGTGCGGTATCCCCAGCATGGCAATTGCACCCTGCACCTGGGAGCTACTTAGGTCTTTGATGGCGACTTGTGGTTTTTCTTTCACGCAGTGTCCGAGGGTACATTCCGCTTGTGTAGCATTGCGGTATCCCCAATGTGGCACTGTGGAGCCTTTTGCACAGCGGTCCGATATACCGCCTGTTTATTGTATTTCGCGTATTTGTCAGCTTGGTGGACCTCTCCTTGCGACAGTGCACTTCATTGGACTCACATTGTACCCTGCCCTAGGGTACATTCCGCTTGTATAGCATGCGCGGTATCCCCAGCATGGCAATCGCACCCTGCACTTGGGAGCTACATGGTCTTCAAAGACGACTTGTGGTACTCACGCAAGTGATGAACAGTGTCCGAGGGCATTCCGCTTGTGTAGCTGTGCGGTATCCCCAGCAAGACACTGTGGAGCCTTTGCTGCCTTGTTTTGATTCGCTTTTCTGAGCTCGTTTGTACAGTACTGAATTCTCATCCGACAGTACATGTGAGCCACACCCGTCTTCTGTGGCCGCTGTAGACACAGTTTTTGGCCTGTGATGTACTCTAAATGTTTGCTAATGCCTGTCCTGCGCAACAGTCGCAGGCGCGCTCGAACATTGGACGGTCAGCCTCTGCATTGTGCTGGGGGTTGGCCATGAAACAAGGGTGGTGACATCCCTGTGCGGGATGGGAACAACGACCAGTAGTTGACCTTCGTGAGGGTCTACGAGCTTGTGGTCCTTGGATGATCCGGACCACCAACGAGCGCTTCCATCAAACCTTCCGTGCTCGGGTGCGCACCAACAACCACAATCACGCTCGCATAGAAGGAGCCGAAACAAGCCGGTCACTGCAACTTGCGCAAGCCATTGTCCATGGATGGCTATATCGGATGGCTATTCCATGCTGGAGAACTACACGCTGATGGTCGAATTGCTAGTGACGCAATTCTCCTCAAGAGGCGTAGTCAGCATCATCTCAACCTGCACCACCAACACCAGCCACTCCTCAAAATGGTCCAGAGCAACGAGCCTGGACTGCCAAGCTACACCATTTCCACAAGCAGCTGGACATCCCACAAATCGCAATCTCGTGCACCTACTTCGAGATGCTCGGCTACCCGATGGCACGTGACTTCAAGTGTGCTTCGTGCGCTCTACGACCTGGCGGATCTTCTTCCGGCAGTATACCACCAGCATCCACGCACCCGTTGTACCGTGCCTGGCAAGCCATCCGCAACAGCAAGCTGAAGCTCAACTTCATGCTGATCATGGACCTGGCCACCCGACTCCGAGCAGTCATGTCATCAAGTCCTCAAAATGCAGAGCAGACATCCCAGAAGGACCAATAGACCCTTATAAGGGTCGAAAGCGCTTGTTAGGGTCGAATTTTATTTTAACAAGCGTTTAATTTAAGGGTCGAATAAAAAAATAGACCCTTATTTGTTTTGGTAAAAAATTGTGTTCTGGAACTTGGACTCCTCCCTTCCTCCCTCCATGCAGTCCCAGTTAACCAACCAATCCATGCGACATTTGCTCCTGCCGTCCCCCCTCCAGTGTTGCTGATGTTTTGAAGCTGCCAGTCAGACACGCAAGCGCAGAAACGTGCAGGCAACGCGTGGCTGCCAAAGTCTTTTTCATCAAACACTGGCGCCTGGAAGTCGCAGCAGAATTTCTGCAAACATCTACTGGACACAGACCACAAAGTTTGTTGGCCTCCTCTGGAGCGGCCAATCTTGCTGATGCTACCTCCAGCTTCCTCATCGCGGTAACACCAATTTAAAGACGGGCAGTCCCCAGCCAAAGCAATCTCAGCAAGCAAATGGAATTTCGGCTTGAGATGCCAAGTGTATTCTTCAGTTGCCAAAGATCCAAGGCATTGATATGTTTGCAAGAACTTGAAGACAACATTCTGAAAATGGACCTGGTCGAATCGGTCCTTGTGAAGGCAATCATAAGACAATTGCAAAAAATGCATGGCATCCTTGATGCCCAACTCGAAGGGAATGTCGCTGTCCATGGACTGAGCAATGGATTCCCCAAAGGGGATCAATGCTCTTGTCTCAGCTGCCCTAGTTCTCAGCTTGGGCGAAGTGGTGCCTTTTTTTCCTCAGCATGCCAAAGGTCAAGTTGCCAATTGTGTCTTGGATGGCGCAGTCAGCGTAATATATCTTCATACGGAGCCACAACGCACTCAGTTGCTCCTGCCTGGTGCCACCAAATTTGGGCAGAACATACCATAGAAGATTGCCAAGCATATCGCAGCTGCAGCCTAAATCTGCAACATGCAGCCAATCCAATTTAAAAACTTCGGTGGTGAAGAATGGACATTTGTAAAGAGCAGTCCTTGGCCTGTCCAAGGATTCGAGTTTCTCCAGAAAATCCCAGTGGCTGTATCTTTCGGTCCTCCACACAGCATTGGAAGTGAAGTCAGTGAAGGTTTCCAAGGTGGCAGAGCATTTGCAGCAAATGCCAGCTTTTTGCTGCCAGTTGGGAAGGCCAAACACTTCAGCTTGACATTTCCA